ACGCCCACACGTGGCGCTCAGCTATTATCTTTGTGGAAATTGCAGCTGGCGTTTTCCCCCACCCAAAACAACACTAAAAGAAATGATAGTTCCATTCTATTTGGTAGGGAGAAAAAGTTTTAGTGGGGGTGTTGTTTTTTTGGGGGGGGGAGTGTAAGGTGCCTAGAAAAAATCTCAAGAAATAAAGACATGTACGTGTCTTGCACAGCTTCCAACACTTGACTTCCAACACTACTAGGAAGCTTACGAATTGACGACTTTCGCATGATACCGCCGCTGGGTCACATCACAGTTCTGCGTTGCCATCCTGTAGAAATTTGAATTTACGATTCGTAGTAAAGACGACATTGGTGCGCGCAGCAGGCAAATTTTCCCACCGTTTTTGGAGTTTGTTTTCTTCTTTTCACAAGTAAGCTTGTCTGTTCAACCAAAATGTCTAAATTCAAATGAGAAACGAGAGTTCATATTGCAGACGCTTATGGAAACAGATCTATAAAGGACCGAGTATTTCACTGTATTTGTTTTTTTATGCGTTTCGTCAACAAACTCAGAGTTAACTACGGATTTAGACAAGACGACAAAGGACGGATGCAAGGCCCGTTTATGTACAGGGAGGGCATTTATAAACTTGCTAAACAGCTGTGGTTACTGTGATGAGATAACCACTTGCAATGGTCTAGTTGTAGTTTTGGTACCATCTTGCCAATATGGTTTCACTCAGTGTTAATTAATGTTTGTCTACAGCTAGCTATGGTGTTGATTCTTCGGGTAATTACTCCAATGAAAACAGACAAACAAATCGAAAACATATGTAAAGAACATGTCCCTAATGTGATACTTGAATTATCTGGAAAAATCCGCTGAAGTATATATGTAGGGAAAACTTTGAAAATGTCTCACGTCCGGCCTTTTCTAGGATGTCGGCAAATCGCTGTCAACAATGGGGCTAACTATGGCAGGACGCCGGCAAGTGAGTGCCCAGGTAAGCATGTGCAGTAAGGCTGTCACGCAGTCCAACGGCATTGTTGTGCGAAAGTCGTCAATTCGTAAGCTCCCTACTATCGTGAAACAGTAACTACAGATACTGTAATCACCTGTCTGAATATAAGAAAAAGTCAAGGAAAGCTACTTAATTGGAAACTTGATAACAGTATTGCTAAATGCACTTCCCAAATGGCAACTAATCTAATCATAATATGATAGCACAAAAATACTCCACGTTTAAGATGAAAATTGAAAATGTAAATCGTTTGGTTTGGTTAGAATGTTTGTAGTACATTAGTGTGTGGATTTTTGTCTCCATTCTCTATCAGCTCGTCATTTGATTTCCGAAATGAGTAATTAAAAAACACCATGTATACAACATACAATAAACTGCCGCTTATAAGCCCATCCACTTATAAGTCCCCCCGGTTATAGGCCCACCTACATGCAAACAAAAAAATACATCCGATTATGAGCACATCGGATATAAGTACCCCTCCAGTTTTTCTTGTTTTAAGCACTCTCAGAGAACACTATTACTTCAACAAATAACTGGAAAAGATTACGGAACAATAACTTTATTACCATTTTATTATTAACAATCTTTATATCTTTATTTCAACATTTCGCCAAATGCTTTGAAGTAACTGTTTATTGTTGTCCTGTAGTGTTACAGTGCATTTCACAAACCTTTTGACAAACTGTTTCCGCAGTTCATTATAACATAACAAAAGTAAATCGCGCCCTCTGATTGGTCAGTTAGCCACTACCATTTGCCCGTGGGTGCACACCAAGCAACTGAGCTAGCGCGGTAAAATTCAGGCAAGTTCAACAAATCTCCTCTCCTGACCGTAAAATACACCGATAAAATGCACAGATGAAAAGTGGAAGTTGAAGAAAACACTAAGCTGTCGTTTTGAAGGAAAAAAGACAAAAGATCAAGCGACAAATTTGCCCTGGATGAATTAATCACTGTTTTCCTGGCGGCTAGAATCGGCTGTTCAAAGGAAAATCGAGCCAGCGAAGATTGAAGGTACATTTTGTATGTTTTTATAGAAGAGAAAGTCTCTTTGAAATGTAAATTCATCAATTAGCATTGTTTTATTGACTTTTTGGTCAAGCTGATGCTAAATTCAAGCAAATATTTCAGGAAACACGCTCAAATTCGAGACAGCTTTGTTGTGAAGTTTCATCGCATCTATTAAAAGTTTTAGTTGAGTTTAAACGGGCACATTACGGTGGAATAAGCGAATT